AGATCTCACAGGATTTCACTCATCACACCAAAGTTGATTCTTTCCTTTTTTGTCTTTTATTTGAAAGTTCAATCAACAATAGTAGTAGCAGTATTAGTAGTAGTAGTAGTAGTAGTAGGTGAAAAACCTTTAAATATAAACAGAAAACACAATGATTAACATTCTTTAAACAAAATTGTTCCTGAAACAAAATATAAGATTTAAACCCAAAATCAAACATATTCAAAGAATTATTCAGTGATACATTTTAACATTCTAGTGTTCATTTACTTTCTCAAATACATTTTAAATGATTCCTCTTTTTTTTTTCTTCTTTTTCTTTTTTATTTATTTATATATATTTTTTTCTCAATGTTTCAACATTTCAGTCTAAATATTCAAATAATTTGTGGCTCACCGGCTCCTTCTCCTTGGAACAAACTTTCCTGCAGTGCATTCACCCAGGCACCCTCATAGTGCTCATTGTTTCTTAGTGAGTGAACATCTCCCAACTGATCCTTTAATTATCTTCACCTGTCTCCAGGTTGGGAGACACTCTCCCTATACTCAGAGGAGGGCGGGGCCTGAATTCAGCTTAACACCTCCCACTCGATCTTCCCACAGAAACTGCTGGAAAGATCGCATGTATCAGTCAATATACAGTCAATTTACAGTCCGACTTCCTTCTGGGTTTCCTGCTTGCTCCTCTGCTGGCAGGAGAACAACTAGTCGTCTGACATCTCTGTGAAGGATTGTAAACTGTGTGTCCCTCAGAATGCTGGATGGAGGAAGCTTGGATGCAGGATTCTTGGATGCGGGCCTCACCTCTGGAGTGCACAAACTTGTTACAACTTTAACATTTACATCCCGCACAATGCCTCTGGTATCTGCATTAACGCTGATGACTCTTCCAAGCTTAAAGTGACCCCTCAATGCATTCTGGTCACACAGCCAAACAATGTCTCCGACTGCAACATTTCTTTTCATAGTGTGCCATTTACTCCTGATAAAAAGATTAGGTCCAGCAAGCTGGCTCCAGGACCTCCAGAAAGTGTTAACCTGGTGCTGCATTTCTTGAAGTCTCTTGTAGGGATAACTTGTGAAATCAAAGGTTTTCCAGTCACCACTTGATGATGCTCGTCCCAGCAGAAGTGAATTAGGTGTGACATACTGCACAGTGTCCTCTCGGCTCTGTACCCTGGCATCAATGGGACGTTCATTTGCAAGGTTGGCAGCAAGCTGAAGTGTTGTTTGGAACTCACTGAAGCTTAGTCCCGACTCTCTTCCCAGGCTCTGGAATGCTCTTTTCACAATCCGGACACCTGCTTCAGCAGAGCCATTGCGATGAGGGGAATCCGCTGGCTGGATTTTCCACTGCCATTCAGTTCCATTCTGAGCTGAAGTTTCTTCTACAGCGGACCTGTTCAACCCATCCAGAAATTGATACAACTCCTCCAGAACCGGTTTGGCACCAATAAAATTGGTCCCTGGATCAGACCAGATCTTTTTAGGGTGACCCCGAATAGCTGTAAATCTTTGGTAAGCCATTACAAAACTTTCAGATGACATAGAGTTAGCAAGCTCTGTGTGAATTGCTCTGCTGGCCATGCAGCAGAATGCCAACCCCCAAACCTTCATCTTGACTCTCCTCTTCACATCATCTTTAACCTGATATGGTCCAAACAGGTCAACTGTTGTAAACTCAAATGGGGCTGCGGGCCGAGTTCTTTCTTGAGGTAAATCACTCATTATTTGCTGACATAATTTGGCTCTGGTTTTCTTGCAGATCACACAATTGTTAATTACTTTTTGAGTAATTCTTCTTCCTTTGATGATCCATGCTTTCTTTCTCACCTTCAGAAGAGTTGCAGCCACTCCCTCATGACCTCTGTTGTGAGCTTCGTAAACCAACAGCATTGAGACCCAGGCATTGTATGGTAACAGGGGAACACCAACCTTGTCTTCATTGAAAGCCTGGATCCTCCCACCACAAAGCAGAAGCCCAGATTCTTCCTCTTTGTAAACCACCAAACGGTCTATGGTAGTGGCTGGAAAGGTGACACCGTCCTGTGCAGCAAGAAAAAGATCTCTTAAAGCATCCTGGCGCTCCATTACAGTAATGACCCCAGTTAATGGCACTGCCTCCCACTTTGAGGTTCTCACGATCCTCTTTTGACCTGCAAAGCGTTTTGCAGCCCGCCAGACCTGGGCAATCACTCGGAGGAGCAAACCCAAATTGCTAAAGCGTCGTACATCCACCAAGTTCCTGACTGCAGTATTGGTGGGCGGTCTCCGAGGTTCTGGATCTGGTGGTTCTTTCTTTGCCTGTGCTCTTGTAAGTACAGCAGCAAACAATTTTTTCTGCATCTTCCCAATGGTTTCTCTTTCAGTTAATGAAACATCCTTTCTAGACTTTATTGGCCACTTACCAGTTGGTAGACTGAGAAAGTTTGGGCCTTGCTGCCATGCAGAGTCTTCCTCCAAATCCTTTGAACCAGACCCACGAGTGATGATATCAGCAATATTCAGGGGACCAGGGATCCACAGCCAATCCTGAAGTTGTGTACTATCTTGGATTTCTCCAATCCTATTGGCAAAAAAGGACTGGAAACCATAACTTTCACGTTGAATTGCACAGAGAACAGTTTGGCTGTCAACAAAGTGGTACCATTGTTTTACTTTAATTTTGCAATACTGCACAAAGTACCTCTTCAGTCGGGCAGCAAATACTGCTCCACACAGCTCAGCCTTGACAGCTTCCCCCTTGTGGTCTAAGGGTGTTAGTTTAGCCTTAGATTCTACCAGCCGTACCACAGGACCTTGATCACATGCCCAGCGCAGGTAGAGGACAGCACCATAAGCCTGCTCACTGCCATCAGAGAAGGTAATTGCATCAGGCTCAGCAGATGCACCCACTGGTGTCAAAGCTCTTGGAAACTTAACCTGGTTCAGCTTGGTATATTCTTCAAAGAGATGAATGGCATCTGCTCTAAGCTTTTCTGAGAGTGCAAGGTCCCAAGTGTCTTTGATAGTTCTAAGCTTAGCTTCCTGAAATGCTCTGCGGACTAGAATGGCCCCTTTCTGCTTAACAGGTGTTGTCAGACCAATTGGGTCATATAATGCAGAAACTTGGCTGAGTAATTGTCGACGTGTTAGTGGGTTTGGTGTCTGGGCTCTCACCTCTTCCAGTTGAAGATTTCTCCCTTGTCTCATTTTCCTTTTTCTCTTTGAGAAGTTTATTCCAACCATGACATGGAGCTTGTCATCTTCCACTGTATAGCCAAGACCAAGAGCTTTGTTGTCATCCTCTTTAAGCTGATTTGGCAGAATCATCTTTGTAGCAGCCTCCCGTTCTTGTTTCTCAGTAGGCTGGTTTCCACTTTGACCAGAGAAGACCCATGGTTTTAACTCGAACCCGCCTGCATTCAGGATCTGCTCCACATTTCCAGTGATAATTTTGAGCTGGTTCAAGTTGTTATGAGAGGTCAAAAGATCATCAACATAGCTATGCTCTTCAATTACTCTCCGCTCCTCCACAAAATGGCTGAACTGGGGGAGTTTAGCTGTCTCTCTTAAAGCAAGTTGAGTAATACATCCTGCTGGCTTATCACCAATGTTGACTCTAGTGATTGCAAACTCACCCAGCTCCTCCTCCTCAGAGTCACGCCACAGGAACCTATGTAGGTGTACCTCTCGGTCTTCAAGCCATACTGAATTATACATCTTGCGTATGTCTCCCAGGGCAGCAAATCTTCCACTTCGGAATCTGAGAAGTACAGCTCTGATTGAATTTAGCACATCTGGGCCCTTCAGCAGAAGATCATTCAAACTCACCCCTCTACACTTTTGACTGCTGTTCCAGACCAACCTGACTGGAGTTGTGACAGAGTGTGGGTTTGGTGCAATGAGGTGACTGATGTACCATACTGGGCCAGTCCATGTATCCAAGATGTCTTTAGACAACTTCATTGCAGCTCGCCGCTTAACCATCTCATGAATTTGAGCTGCATATGCGGCCTTCCACTCTGGGTCCTTAGCCAGTTGCCTCTCAGTCCTCATGAATGTAGCTTCAACTGCACTCCTGTTGCAATGTAATGTGGCTGGATCTTCTACCCAGGGATAGCTGGCATGCCAATGAGGCTTCCCACTATGTTCATCTGAAACGACATATGTTAGTCCACTTTTTACCACTTCCAGCTCCCTTTCTTCAGAGAGAGTCATCTCTTTGCCACCTGGCTGGCAGTTTCCACAGCGGCAACCTCCACATTTTGGGATGCAACCAGCACCGATGCTGTCCCATTTCCACCACTCTAGAAACCTGGAAGTAGAAGCTACACAATTTGATTTGTGAGGTTTAATGGCAGTCAAAGGCTGTTGGCTCTGTGTACTTGGCACTACACAAACATGTTCTTCATACCTCACAGCAGCAGTTCTCATAGATCTTGCGAAGTGTGTTCGTGATGTGTGGGCTGTCATTGTGACCTCTTCAAAGAGCTCAGGATGGGTGCCAGCAACTGTTTTTCCCATTGGTCCATCCCACAGCACAAGATCTCCAATGGTGCATATTTTCTGTGGAGCTAGCTGGCCCTCTTTGTGGCTTACAAGGAGATGGATCTCTTTTGGTCTTACTAGTTCACTGAGTGGAATGCCTGGAAAGAACTTTTGCAGCTTCTTTGGAGACACATGTTTTTGTATGTCAGCAATACTGTCTAGGCCATAACAAACAAGCTGGTGAGACTTGAAAGTGCCTCTTGAGCTGCGGACACAGATTTTCAGGAGGTATCGCTTTGTTTTGACAAAGACTTTCATGCCTCCTACACCATGAACCACAAGCGTGATGTCTTCACTCCTGAGATTTAGTCGGCCTGCTGCCTCATGAGTGATATAATTTGTGTCAGAAGCTAGATCAATCAGGGTCCCGATTTTTTGTCCATCATTAGCTGTGACTTCCTGAATCATCATTAAGACAGGCCACTCTGTTAGCCCATTCTCTGTTAGAAGACTTGAGTGACTTCTTGCAACATGGGAAACCCTTGACGTTGTGTTACAAAATACATTCTGACATTGTTGGGCTAGTTCTGGTGGGAGTTTTTTCACAAATTCTTCTTGGGCTTCAGTGTAATTTCTTGTATTTCTACCTCCCACTGTTCCACTTCTGCTTCTCCTTTGAGTTGTGCTGCCTCTAGATGTTTCAGCATTTGGACACAGATGATAGTGATGGTCCGTGTCCCTCCTTTTCTCACACTCAGAATTTTTGCACAAGAAAAAAGTTTTGCAGTAATCACCAGGATTGTGGATGTCCAGACATCTCCAACATGCTCCCATTTTCCGTACTGCATCCTTCTTCTCTGCAAGATTAAGTGCACAGAATTTCTTACAGAAATAGAGCTTTTTCCTGTGCCTGAAATCCCCACAGAGTACACACCCTGAGGGAGGGCTACTTGCTTGGTTTGCGATTCTAGTCCTTGCTTGCCTCTGCTCTGGTCGAGATTCCTTCCTCACTGGATCCTCATTCTTTAGTTGGTCAAGCTGTTCATAGATGCTTTCCTGACTCTTGAGGAAGTCCAGAAGATCTTCAAAGCGCTTCTCTGATTTAGTACTTCTCTCTGCAGCATAGAGAAGCCATTCTTTCTTTAACCCATCAGGGAGTTTGCTCTCAATTGACTTTGTCACAAGAGGATTTTTTAAAGCGCCACTGTCACCAAGGTCATTGAGGTCATCAAGGGCTTTTTCAATAGTTTGGATCAGTTCAACAATTTTCTTAGGCTGGTGACTTTTGACAGGAGGAAGTCTCTGAAGCTCTTCAATTATTTCAATAGCAATAGCTGATTGGCATCCAAACCTGTTTTCTAGTACACGAAAAATGTCATCTGCTGTTTTGTAGGTTACCAGTCGAAGGTCTCTTATTATTTTTTCATCTAAACTGTCAATGAGCTGAAACTTTTTCACTTCTTTTGACCCCGTGGGTTCTCCTTGACTCTGAAGAGCCTCCCAATCTCTTCTCCAGCGATGAAAATCGCGCCTGACGCCAGTAAATTTGGGGAGTGAGGTTGGCTTCAATTTGATAACTGATGTTGGGTAGCTGATGGAAGACGTACTTAAAGTTTTTCCAGCACTTTCTTTAGCCTTGGCTTCTATAAACTCTGCCTTTCTGGACATTAACTTTGGAACCATCTGTTCAAGCTCTCTTACACGCAGGTGAAATTCTTTTTGCTCAGCTGGAGGGGCCTTTATTAGACTCAATTATTAGTTCCTTGAAACTGTCTTTGAGCTCCTCTTCTGACATTATGGCATGCATTCGAACAATGTTGTTGGCCAGCCGGGAAAATAGCAGTTTAGCAGATGTCCTGTTTCTCTTCAGCTGCTCTAAAGACTCTGAGTCAGCCATTTTGAGTTTCAATAGGGTTCCTGACTCTGCCAATCTTCTGGCCGGTTTTTCACTGTCAAGTGGTTCACACTTTGTTTTTGGTATTTTAACTGCAGGTTTCCCCCACTTGAAAAGGCAGTTTGCTTCCAGAGATCTCACAGGATTTCACTCATCACACCAAAGTTGATTCTTTCCTTTTTTGTCTTTTATTTGAAAGTTCAATCAACAATAGTAGTAGCAGTATTAGTAGTAGTAGTAGTAGTAGTAGGTGAAAAACCTTTAAATATAAACAGAAAACACAATGATTAACATTCTTTAAACAAAATTGTTCCTGAAACAAAATATAAGATTTAAACCCAAAATCAAACATATTCAAAGAATTATTCAGTGATACATTTTAACATTCTAGTGTTCATTTACTTTCTCAAATACATTTTAAATGATTCCTCTTTTTTTTTTTCTTCTTTTTCTTTTTTATTTATTTATATATATTTTTTTCTCAATGTTTCAACATTTCAGTCTAAATATTCAAATAATTTGTGGCTCACCGGCTCCTTCTCCTTGGAACAAACTTTCCTGCAGTGCATTCACCCAGGCACCCTCATAGTGCTCATTGTTGCTTAGTGAGTGAACATCTCCCAACTGATCCTTTAATTATCTTCACCTGTCTCCAGGTTGGGAGACACTCTCCCTATACTCAGTCAGAGGAGGGCGGGGCCTGAATTCAGCTTAACACACATTCATAGTAAAAAAAAAATGAACAAAGTCTTGTTTAGGGTCTCTAGAAACATGTGAACTTCTCGCAGAAAGGCCACAACATCAGACTCAAGTCAAGGACCTTGCTGTACTGCAACCATGCTAAGAACTGTGTCACATTGCAACCCTCACACACTACCTGAATAATTACCCCAAAAAATCTCTTTCAAATTATAACTTTTATTGAATACATTAAAATGCTTTCCAACCAAATTCTCTCTAAAAAAAAAAGTAATCATGCTTATGTTGAGTACTGAATTAACCGTGAATATTTACGTTTTTTGTAAGACTCAGCTTGTTTTGTCATTTTTACCCCATTAGAGGAAAAATTTGAATTTGTCTCTCAGTATGAAGAAGCCTAAAAGTTCTAGAAAGCCATATGAATTAAAGAACTCTGAAGAGATAAATTGTAAAGGAAGTCACTGACAACTGTCAGTCTGGAAAAGGTTACAAAGCCATTTCTCAGACCTTTGCATTCTAGAAAACCACGTGCGGTGTTTTACTCTTGAAGAAAATACACAGACCAATGAGAAGAGGTGTAAAAATTTGTTAGGTTTGTATCCTTTTTATCTGGACAGCAATATAGCACAACATTTCAGAAAGAGTGCCCGTCATGATCTTGACACTGATGTCTGGTCTAATTACTCATTTCACACACCTACCAAGCTCCACCCAGTTCTCATTACCTGCTTAACTGCTCTACCTATATCAGTCTCTATTTTACCGGCCTTCAGACCAGTCATCAGTGCCAGATTGCTTTTTGAGCTATTGGTGAGAGCATTCCTGTATTCTGATTACCTGATTCTAACCTCTTCTGCCTCTCCACCTCTTGAGCCTGCTTGTTCCCATCCGATCTCTTTGCCTGACCTGTTTTCTGACTCCTGCTGGATCTCTGCCTGTTTGTGTACTGAATCTGGAACCTGACCCGACTCCGTCCTGGATTCTCCCTCGGCACCTCACTGGATATCTGATCTCCTGGCTCTGGCTAAGATCATGTCCCCGATATTGGCTTTGGCTTTGCTCTCTGGATTATCTTGCCTGCATATGTCTGCTCGTTTCTGATCTCCTGCCTTTCCTCCAACCACCGATACATTAGTGTCTGGGACCCTCTGTTGGGCAACCGCCGCACCGCATTGACAGCCGGCCAGCTGGAGCCATCCTCACCTTGTGGCCTCGTAGTTAACTATAAGATCAGGTAATTTAATCACAAGTTCGTTATCATCCACTTCCAGAAAGAAGAGGTCACTAACCCACTGTCTCCACCCGCAGAGGTTCCTGCCTTAGACACTGATCACTTCGCCTCAGTTTCCAATAAATTTTTAGAGAAATATAACTGTTTGTCTGCCTTGAATACTAGACCCTATTCTTTTGAGCCTGACAGTGTCATACAAAATAACTGGTCCTGTGGTCTGACATGGGTTACTGCTAAAGTAACTAGTAACGATTATTGATAGAACCATAAATTCAGTTTTTACAGTAAAATCAGAGAACGGCATCATTGCATGACCTTAAGCTAAAAAAGATAATGGTTTATACAGCCAGAGAATGATTCAGTTTACACAAGCTTAGTCCCCCTTCAAGGAACAAATGCAAAGAAAAAATGTCTTGGCTTTGCTATGGTACAATCCAACATGCATGAGGACGAAAGGAATGTTTTGATAATTCTGGTACCAACAGAGGCCCAAAGTTTCTATATAATAAACTAAAAGTTATGTTGCTGCAAATGTTTGTTTTTTTATAGTTTTAAAATAGAAATAGCATTTTGTCTTTCCGCTGACTATTCCTTTCTAAGATTTTTTCAGCTATGTAACACAAATAAAAGCCAAAAATCTGTATGGGGACAAACATTTTTTAACAAATACATTTAAGTGGGGATCTTCAATGTCTTGTATGTGTGGGGTATTTTTTTCCAGTGTAATGAACAATGCATTTATGTCTGCTTGCATATTGCTACACCTCCAGCTGCCCCCACAGGGAAACAACTCAGTTTACAGACAGAGAGAATATAGCACTGACACCACAGAGTTCATACAAACTAAATGTGCAACTTGTACATTCACAGGTATGAATCCCATAGCAATCCACAAACCTACGTAACACACACCCACACACACAGCTTGTGCATTCAAATGTTGTCCTCTGAAGTTGCTTTGCAATACTGTATTAACAGTCTGGATTTAATCCTCTCTTATCTCTACCCTCACCCTTTTCACCCTTCACTTGCTGTCTTCCCACAAGCAGTTTATGTGCAAAAAATAACGATATAAGGCGGTGCAGTCCAGGGGGGGTTTGAAAAGGCGGGGGAGGGGTCTCATAAATGAGGATATATTATTCTCTGTAGGCCAAGGCTTTGTGTGTGTGGCCTGTTTCCTTGTCTTTGGCTTTGAGTAGACTGGCTGTGGGATTGTCAAATCAAGCACTATGTTGGATGTTTACCTGTGTTCACAACCATCATGATATAAGCATTAAAAGATATTTCTGAACAGAGAAAAGTAAAGGGTCCAAACCAGTACACCTAGACTGGGGACTGTAACAGCTGATAAGGTTAATCAGGAAAGGATTTAGTTGAACACAAACACATGGACTGATATGAACAGTTATACAGACCTCTAATGACAATCTGCTGTCCCTCCTTTACAAATTTAAAAGAATCCCAACCCCAGAACAAATGATGATTATCCACTAATTGCATTTTTTTCAGGATTTTCTGTATGAAAGTATACCTTTGGAATATGTCTACAGTATAAGGAAACCACACCCTTTGTGAAATTATACAGTAAAATGTTTCAAAAAGCTCATCTTTTTCAAACATTTGTAACCGAATGTGAGCAATTTGTTTCAACTTCATCAAAATATTTAAAAAATATGACCTTCTGGTATACTTATTTTAAGTATTTTGCTCTCAATTGCTGTTTCCTACAGTTTTTTGTATTATTATTCAAACCTTAGAAATAATTTCTTACAATAAATCAAAAAGCTACAACAGTTCTATGCAAAAATGTCCACAACCATCCCTGTAACTTTTCCTCATTTGCATACTTTATAGCTACAAACTTTACTGTATTTTATTGCAACTTTATATATTGTGTACCAATAGAAAGTAGAAGTAACTATAAAGTGAAATAAAATAGATGTATGGTTTTAAATTCAAAAAATTTTCAATTTCCCTTGACCTGTTCAAGACATTTATTCCCAAAGCATTATGCTGCAAACACAGTGATTGGATAGTTTGTACAGGGTGATAGGCAATGTTGCCTTAATTAACATGTAGGACTAAAAGTTAGATTTTTAAAATACATTTATATTTCTTTCAGCTTAAGAATTATATATAACTTTGAGTTTATATATCACCTAAAACCAACAGAAAATATATTAAACTGCAGCTGAAAAGTGACAGTGAAAACACTTGAGTTGAGTGAACATATTTTCACCACTCTTTAAATACTCGTTAGTGTCTGCTATGTTATGCTTAGACTCTGACTGAAACTTACCTGTATATAGAGACATTCTCAATCAGATCTGCAGTCTCTGTGTCTGTGATGATTATGCCCTTTGGAGACACTGTCAGGGTTACCTTCCGAAACTTCTTGGCGCTGGCTCTGGCCTATTGATGTTAGAGTGACAACAAAGCAAATAAAGATCAGATGGAGAAGATCTTGCTTTAAGCTCATAGAAGGTGACCTTGTCAGACTGATGAAATCTGTGAGAGCCCTGTTGACAAAAGACAGCGGCTGACCGCTTTACCATACAATTAAAAGTCAAGCCGTAGAAGTTTAGCATCTTTCTCAGGTGGGACTGGAATGTAAAAGAGCCTGAAAAGGAAATATACAGCAAATTAGCAGAAAACAAAATTTTAATTAACTGGCTCTAAATAAAAAAGCATGTGAGGGGTTTATATAGAGGTATCTTTATTTAAGAAAAAATAGGTCTTCTCAAGGACAAATATTAGTGTTATAATCAGCTGAAATGCGCCCAAATTTCCTTGAGATGATTCAATAAGCAGTAGTTTTGGTTTTAGCCTTCGTTATTTTCCTGATAAAAAAAATGAAAAAATCTATCAAAAAGAGGGAAGGGGATCAGTAGATGACTCTGCTGCCAGAGCTTGTTCATGTAGAAACATGGACAATTCCTGCTGCCCGGTTACAAGTGACATACCACCAGGCAAAAAGCAATCTGTCAGCCTGAAATAGTCCAGGGTGACATCTTCTGTATGTTCGGTCCTGCTGTCTTGTCTCATCACATCTGAAGTGTGGAGCAAATGGAAAAACCCCAAATGTATTCTGTTCTCTGGTTAAGGTGGCCTGGTTTCCAGGGAAACGGACAAAGACAAAAATGACTGTTTTTTTCTTGGTGTAAAATCACCTGAATTTTAATCCTTCCATTAGATTTGCTGCAGTCTACTTGAGAAGAAGAGGTGTGATTAGACTGCCTAAGTAGGTTTATTCATTCATTAAAAAAAAAAAATGTAAAAATTAAAACTGGCAGCAGTTTAAATTGATGAAAGGAAGCATATTTGGGAAGGATTTTTTAATCTAATGTCTTTTTTATCTAATTCTGAGTTATAAACTAGTCTTGACTCTGATTTCCTACTGTCTATATTTTAGGGATCTGTAGCATTCAAAATATTGGGTTTACATTTACATTTACAGGCAATTATGACACACACATCTAAATGCAACATTATTCAACATATGCATGCTGTTTCTCAACATAGTTTATAATAGATATGGGCATTACATAGATTGAAGGTGAGAATGAACACATGGCAAAGCAAGTGTGTTTATATAGCACATTCTGCAAGACAATTTAAAGGGCTGTACATGAAAAAACATCACAGAAAAACACAAATATATATAAATTTTAGGGGAATAATCAGTTAAGTAATACTTAATCCTAGTGAAAAAAATATGATTAATAATGTCATAATCTTGGAGGTGATGGCTGACTTAATTATTCATTCCATTCACCAGTCTAACTTTGCTTGGTTTCTAATCACTGCTCATCTGATCCACCTGCTCCTGCCTCTATTTAAGTAGCTTGCATCCAGTTATCAGGGCCAGATTATTCTCATTCTCTAGTGTCACTAATGAGAGGGTTTTTAGCGTCCTGTCCTGTTCTGCCTCTCAACCACTGAGCCCGCCTATTCCCGTCTGATCTCAGTGCACAGAGTGGTTTTTAGCATACCCGAATGTTTCTGATTTCCTGATCATGACCTATTCTTCCTCTCAACCTTCACAATATCTTGAAAGTAGGGAAGTAAAACAAACGATCGACTTACATTTAATTGTTGATTATTGTATATTAGATTTAAGTTTATTGCATCAAATTAACTGAAAACCTCAGTTCAGAGGGAATTTCCTTTAGTTTTGTAGTGTTATTACCAGCCAATTGAAAGGGTGTGATATATTTATATACATTTACATTTCTGTACTACAGAGCGGTGATTCTTATAAACTGCCTTTAGATGTAACTTTTTTTTACTCTGAAGTGAGTAGAATGGTTGAAATTTAAATGTGTCTTAAAATTAAGTACACTAAAAGTGGTTCAAGTTAAATCTCATTGCTGAATTCAGCCATACAAAAGAGGATTGGAGAGAGCTGTGGGGATACCCACCATGGCTCTAATCTCTCATGGCTGTATGAATTTGTCAGCGCACTGAGATGTAGCATTTTTTAAACTAGTATATCTGCTTCTTAACCTTTATTTGTAACCTATAGAAGAAAGTTGGTTGAGTCTTTATCTATTAAATGTATGCTGATGCTTTCTTTTCCTTACCCTTTTTTTTTTTTACTACTGCGATAATAAATTGCCCTTGGCATTTCAGTAAAAAGGATACATAAGTTTAAGCACCAGGATTCTTTCTCCTTCCAGTCCTTCATAATCTTCATCTGCTGCCTTACCTTTCATAGTATTATATGTTTATGATTTTTTATTCAAATTAGGTTACTTCAGAACCATTCTGGCTCTTGCAAATGCATGAAATATCAAACTGCTAAAGCCACCATCTGTTACGTCTGATTCTACTAGTCTTCTAGTTTTTAACCTAGCTCCAAAACATTAAATAAAGACATTCATATTGCAATTTACACTGGATTTTGAACCAAATTCATTTTTAAATTTACCAAATAAGGGGCGTGTCTACAAAAAAGGCAATGCAACTGTCAACATTTATTTTTCTTTCTAGATTACTTACCATTGCAACAATTCTTCGAATGGCAGCTGAGGCCATTTCCTCTCCTTTAGGTTGTCCCACCAGAGTCATACCAAGGTACTTAACGTTGAACACCATCCCTTCCAGCAGGGTCTCCTTTGTGTCTGTCCAGTTTTCTGGCAGCTCTGATTGGACAAAACAACAGGACACCCATAATTATCTTTTTGACCTACCTTCATTAGGTCATGGATTGTGATTAAATAGCTAAATGTGTTTAACTAAATATTCTGACCACACAACAGTGTAGAAATATGTATTCTAACTGTATACATTCAAAGGATTACATTGCATGATGACAACACATAATATGCCAAGAGAAAAAAGCTCAAATGATCCATTGGAAATAAAAGAAACCAGACAATTCAGTAAAAACTGGTATCTGTTAAGTGCTGCATGGAAGCTTCACAGCTGAGCTTAGACAAAGAATAATCCCAACACCTTAAAAAACATAGAATTCATGAAGTTTTATGCTATAAATAAGACATTATTAAGCAACTATAATACAGGTTTAAATAGCCCGTGGATTACAATATATATACATATATAAAAAAAAAATTCAGTTTAACTTATGAGTCATCCTTTAAATAAGGCACCCCAAATTCTTAATCATGACTTGACATGTTTATGGGTGCATTAGTAGATAGTTCAGTAACTATTAATCACTTGTTTATAAAGGGAGTCTTTCTGTAGAAATCTGCATATTGTATCAGTGGGCAACAGAAGAACAATGTATAGTTAATCAACAGTTCACATCAGGAATTAAGTAAAAACTTGAGTTACCGGTATTACACGTCTAATTACAGGATCTACAGCATTTCAAGGCTTTCATCTATAAAAACAAACAAACTAAAACACAAAAGCCTTTTAGCCAGTATGTAAACTGTTCATTTTCAGCAATTTGCTGCATTCTTTCTTTTGGTATAAGTGAATTCATAGCATCCAACTACTGGCTGGAGAGAATGGGAAAAGGAAGCCTCATCACAGTGTCCAGCATTAATGAGGAGCATACTGGCACTAAAGTCGCCATGTGTTTTGAGCCATCTGTCACTGGCAGACCCCATGCAGCTGTGAAGGCAACTACAAGGCCTCATAGTGCTGAATTATTAACCGTTCTTCAATCAAAGTTGGAGGTTGGTACAGAGAGGGGGGAACAATTGGTGGTAATGAATGCAAATGTCCTGGGCTGTAGTAGAGGGACATAACTCTGACTTTGTGTAGTAAATATATTGTTTTAGCTCTTGGGGTGGGTTTTCTTCAATGCCTAATCAAACCACAGGGAACACATTTTCATTTTTAATTTAATGGGTTAAACCCAATAGCTATAAAAAGAAAATGTTGAAACAATTTACGGTGAACATGAGAGCTGGGGTAGAGAAAAAGAAAAACCTGTTGTGAAAAGAGTGTTGCAATTTATCACATTCATATCATCCTTGAACTACTTTTTGTTCAATACCTGGGGCTTATACATTTTTAATATAATATAAAGTTTGATACATGTGTGAAATACCTTCCTTTTTTTAATATGACCTTTGTTTGTAGTTCAAATTAAAGAACCGGTGTTTCATGCTTTGCTTAAAAAAGTTAAGGCCTTTGGTTTCTCTCTATAAGACCTCTGATTTCCTGGAAAATTTATATTAATTCTTGTTTTCCTAAAGCATCTGCACAAGTTAAAGCAGATCAAATCGTCTTTATATGTTATAACAAAATAGAATAAGAGGCTGACTACATACCAGCATCCAGAGAATTAATATAGTATTAAATTCTGCCATTATCCGAACCCCATCTAATAGGCATTTTCATTAACTCAGACCAAAACTGCAAAACTTCCATATGCCCTTATTAATTACAAATTAGGAAATAACAGATAGAGTTAAGCTATTTGTAGCTGCAAGATCCGTCATAAAATGTATATATTTGAAGCTGCTTTTTTTCCCCAGACTGTTTTTCTTCTAGGTTTAAATGTTAGTTTCACTAAACTATTATGGTTATTTCTTTATTTTCAGGAGCATCATTCATAGCGGCCAGCTAGAAGGCAGTAACACCTTTGTATCAGTAACTAAGTGCAACAATGAAATACTTTTAAACACTTACTGTGTGTATTTCATACAATAGCAATATTTAAAGAAAATAAGCATGTTGAATGCATTTTCAAATAAATAAAGAAGCTTATTGGTTTCAAGAAAAAAAACATTGTTTTTATTTATTTAAAATTCTTCTTTCTCCATCCTTATGAAATGCTGACTGCTGACAGCTGGTTGTAGCTGTGGTTTGTAAACTAAAGGAGTGCCACGCATCATTCAAATAATGATGATTCAACAACAGACCTGTAAAGCTATAAACTACACATTTGTTAGATAGCATCCTTAACAGTTAGCCCGGCTAACTGTCAAGCTAATTTCACTTTGTTGCAATTCCAGTGTTACTCTCCTAAACATCAAAACAGTGTAGAATATTCTTCTTAACAGATATTTGTAAACCACTACGGCAATTGCTAATACATTACATTTTTTAAACCTGTGTATAAATGACTAAGGAAAACTTATGAGAATCAGTAAAAGAATCCAATTGTTGCATTATTTTAGCTGTAGAAGGAATAATAGCTGATTTTCTTTACAAAAAAGAATTAATTAGGTAATTTTTTATTTTTTTTATTTCTGTGCAGATACTGTAATATTAATTATGTTTTATCCCAGGTATCATACCATGCGAATCATATAGCAGCCTATGCCTTTCAACTGTGCATCTGTTCAGGCTTAAACCAAAGTAAAATCAGAACAGTTAAAAATAATTTTTATATTAAGTTTTTAAGGTAATTTGGGTATTTGGACACATAAAAAAATGACCACTGGAGGCACTGGGTAGCTCACTTTGTCTTGAGCAATTTCTTGCATGTGCTCCCCTATCTTCCCCATACCTTTTCCTATAAAATAATGTTCAAAACTACAAAGTAGTATTAGGCCCAGGCTAGAGATTTTCTTTTTCCATTTCGAAAATAAAGTAACATTACGAGAATAAAGTCACAATGAGAATAGTCATAAAATTACAAAAATAAAGTCGTAACATTATGAGAATAAAGTAGTAAAATTGCAAGAATAAAGTCATAAAATTATGAGAATAAAATCATACAATTATGAGAATAAAGTCCTAAAATTACGAGAATAAAGTTGTAACACTACCAGAATAAAGTAATAAAATTACGAAAATAAGGTCACAACGAGAATACTCATAAAATTACAACAATAAAGTCTTAACATTGTAAGAATAAACTCGTAACATTATGAGAATAAAGTCATAAAATTATGACAATAAAGTCTTAAAATTATGAGAATAAAGTCGTAAAATTACAAGAATAAAGTTGTAACACTAACTGAATAAAGTAAAAAAAATTACGAAAATAAAATCACAACAAGAAGTCATAAAATTCTTACAAGATGCATTGTCTTCCCTAAAACGAGGAATGTCAAGCATTATGTGAAGTTATACTTTGGCTCTGGTTTCACATATAAGGAAATCTTCAAGCACACCAGAATCAAATTGGGCAGTATGTCAAAGTGGACTCAAGTTGCTGTTTGGTGGTGCTGGTCAGCCGTCAATAGCTGGTCGGAGCTCAAAGGTTTCTTTCTGAAACGGATTGTGATATGATGACTTAATTCTTGTAATATTACGACTTTATTCTCGTAATGTTATGACTTTATTCTTGTAATATAATGACTTTATTATCGTAATATAACTACTTTATTCTCTTAATGTTACAACTTTATTCTCGTACCGTTACAACTTTATTCTCGTAATGTTACAACTTTATTCTCGTACCGTTACGACTTTATTCTCGAAATAACAAAAAAAAATCTGTAGCCTGGCCCTAATACTCCATCGTACAATAAAGTAAAAAAAAATCTTAACTGAATAAAAAAAAAAAATGATCAAACCCTGGTCAAAACATTTACATTGCTCCGTTTATTTTTCAAAACATCAGAACACCACAGGACTAACTGCTACAGCCCATGTTGCATCTTCACTAGGAAACATCAATGAATTATTTAACAGCTTTATGTTGATGCTTCAGGGTTTCCAATATATCACATCCCCCCATCCGAAAGAGTAATGCCTAAATTTTTAATACATCCAGTCCAAGAGGGAATGGGACTGATAAGAGTGACAGGAAAAGGGGTAGCTAATTGGATTTTAGAAAGTTAAAGAAAATCCTCTAAAAACATGCTTTAGTGGTTTTGGTGAACTTTTAGAGAAACAGCATGTGTCATGACATGAATGCAAGACTACTAAAACATTTGTTTACATGATTCAATTTAAATATTAGCAAAGAGTCAATGTTTTATGGCAGCCCTCATGACATTTCTCTGTTTAATAAATCAGAGCCTGGAAATAATTTAATACTGAGCATATTGCAACAAAGGCACTGATTCTATTATGTGCACAAACACAAAAAAGCAACTCATTGTTTTGACACACTGCATAAATCAATGCACAACAGCTCAGGGCAAACCGATGAACTTTTACCACATGGAATCTTAAACTGCATTTACAGGAAAGGTACAAAAATACTCCTGTGGGATACGAGGCCAGGATGTATGAACTAAAACGAGCAGTGCTGTATTGGCCAACCGTTGAAGCATAATAGGCACGATGTGTGCTTTACGCCTTAAGGCCCAAGCAGCTGTTACAATGAAATCCATGTTCGTAATTTAATTTACTCTGAGAAGCCAAAATTGTACCCGGGTGAATTCTCCTTTGGCTCAACACTTTAACCGGTGGTTAATTAATAACGCAAACAGAAGTACACTGATGAATACACATAGGAATAATACAAGAAAAAGGGCATCTGCGCAGGCAGGCAAAGTCCTTAGGTTACATGCTGAAATTTGTTTTAATCAGTGTCTGCTTTGGGGTCAAAATAATATAACTAAAAAAATCTATTCCTTCTTTAATTCCCAACAGGTCAGAAAGTAGGACAATATCTAATAGAAAAATAAAGCAGCTTGATTGAAGAAGAAGTCGGTACGCTTTGAGGACCCCAGTGATACCAGGATTCTTTAAATCTTCCATAATATAATCTCTCTGCCTCAGTGTTTTACTCTTCTGCTGGAGATTTAAATCTGGGACGCCA